TTTATGGACCTGCTAGTATAAAATCCTGTCAGTGCAGTTAACCTATAGGGAAGTATTTTAATTATGTTTATCTCCAATAAGCAGAGAGGGAGGTTCATGAATCTTTACTTATCTTGTATTTTGATTTAAGGTCAGATCACCTGGTTCGGCTATGAAAGTCCTCGTAGTTTCTGGGACTACATTCGAGTAGCTTGCCGAAAAGTCTCTCACAATTGCATCTGCAGTATTGAGAACATGGAGAATGTCGGTTCTTCTAGAGCTAAGGTAGGGAAGAAAAAGGTCAAATTGACTTTTTTATTACATTGTTCTGTGTAAAATATAGCTGACATTTCTGTTCCCAGAAGAAAAACATATTACTAAGCTTGCCCCACAAAATTTTTCATTGTTTGAAATAATTTTTTTTATATGTACCTAGTAAATATTTACTTTTAAAAAACCCACTTTTAAATCTGATTGTGTTTCCTTTTAAATTTATGTTATTCAGTAGAAGAAATCTCAAATTCTCTATTCAGTGACCATGTTGTATTATAAAATGATTGCCTTTACATTTTTGAACTTACATAACTTTTTGAAAATGCAGTATGTTGAGGGAAATTAAGTTCATGCGGGGATGCCTAACACATATTATTTTAAAATCATAGAAATTTGGTATTTTTTTCCTTAACCTAAGTATCATTTTATTTTGTATATAATTTATGCACTAATAGAAAAGGTGTGGTCAACTCTTGAGTTTGTTGGTGTGATTGTGCAGGGAGCCTTTAATAGATTTATTTGCTAATAAAGATCCATCATTTTAAAGGATCTATATAGAAATGACATCACAATTCCTAATTGTAGGTACAATGGAAACATTAAGGAAGTAACAAATTAATGTGTTTATATGCATATTAACTGAATAAGAATAATCTTTAAACGGACCTATCATTAAATCGTAATAGTGTGAGACAATATAGACCAACACCTTAAAAAAAATATTGTTGGACAGAGATTACAAGTTCTTTTTACTAGATTGGAATGCTTTCAAATAGCTTGTATTTCTGTGTAAAGCAGCCTTGATTGATAACTGGGAACCTTCTGTCTTGAATGTATAAGTAGTCTAAAAGGATGCACAAATTAACGTTATTAATTCTTTTTATTCCTAAATGAACTGGAATCAGTTGTTTGAACAAGTATCCAAACAGTGTTCTATGGCTATTTTAAAAATCCTGTAGTTCCAGATTTTTATTATACTCTGGATTATTCACAGTTGGTGTCATCAGTGAGCTACAAATATTTAGCTTGTTATATACAAAAACTTTGTAGGCTTTTTTCAGGGGCAATACTGTGGTTAATACAATTTCAATTATAGGTATTTATGCAACCACAATTTTCTTCAATAAAAGATGATGCTTAGATCAAGCAGCACCATGAATCTAGTAGATCTTCAAGCAGCCATTTTGATGATCCCTAGTATTGCAGAACAGCTTATTTGCTATGTCTACTGTTGTTCCTTTCTTCTTTTGTATAGACTCCATTTTAAATTTTATATAGTAAACATCTGTAATTTGCGTGAAAGCTTTGAAACACTTGAGATTCTATGGCAAAAAGCTATTGACTGGTTTTCCTATCCAGAATATTACATGCTCTTCCTAGTACTCAATGTACTGGAGTAGTAGCCTGATAATTTAAGTCATGCAGCTTTTCTTCTTGCCTATGATGAGATCTGGAAATTCAGATAATTTGAATAACTTATTTCCAAATACTTTCTGGAGAGACTCATGTTCTAGAATCTGATGATTGTATTGCTTATTTTCGAGATTTATTTTAAAGGTATTTCTGAATTCCAAGATTTTAATAGATATGAATGTTTAAATTCAGTAGATAGTAAGATGTAAAGCTATTTTCTGAAATACTATTATAAATAAATTAAAATTTTCTTCTGCTCTGTGGAAAACTCTATGCCAAATAGTAAACAAAGAAGCTAATTTGTGCAGCAAGTGTGGAGAGCGGTGTTGAATTTTTAAAGGTGCATGTAGGAGTATTTTGGATGTCTGTATCTGAAAAGGTTGGAGGCATGTCAACACAAATACTAGTGGTATGCATCAGTTTTACTGGTGGTCCACATGGGTTTCTGCTTCAGCCTGGAAGCTGTTAGTAAGGGTTTGCCAGTGCTAGTTAGCCCTGCTTTCACTGGAGCTGCATAGGCTTTAGTCGTTAGCTAAGCATCATCATCGGGGTTTGACTGTTTCACTCATGTTCTAAATAACTGCAACATAAAGGCAGCTATCCAGATAAACATCCTTTAATTTTAGTGCACTCTACGTTGAAGTTTTTGCTGTGTTGTTGGTATTTATGAAAGTGAATTTTTTTGTTATTTAAAATCTGCCTATCTTCTTATAATCTGTAGTAACTGTAAGTTCATAAGAGCGCTTACCTCATGGAAATTCTTTTACTTTAGTCCTTAGAGCTGAGAAGACTCAATCTACAGTAACTGAAGCACCTTGGAATTTTGTTTTTCCTTTGGCATATTGAGTAGTATATATTAATTCTTCCTGCTTTTTTTTTTTTTTAGTAAGTCTTTTATCAAGCTTTGAATTTAATAAATAAATCCATGTGGCGAAGTAAGCAGATGGGCCACAAAGTCAAGTTACATGCACCTTCTAGGGGAAAAAACCCCACCAGTTGAATTTCTTAAGATCATAGGGGACAGATCCTTGACACTACTCTGGCTATGCTTGGAGCTAAGATAAGTCATGCTAGATAAATATATCCTTTTCATCATATTTTGACATTTTCTTTTCAGTATGTATGATTTGCAGTATCAGTCTAATATTTTCTTTCTTGAAATCTGAGCTTTCTAACAGCAAAAGAATTAGAAGCCTTTACTTATTATAAGTTTAGTTTCATCTAGGTCTATATAAATTAAAAGTAGGATTATATCTACTACAGGTGGTTTTGGTAGAACATCTGCAGTGATATTCAGCTAGATGTCAATAAGCACCACATATATTAAGCAGAAAGATGTCTTACTACTTATATAATTATTTGTAAGTTTATATGGGTTACAAGAAATGTTCCTGGTGTTCTCAAAATGACAATCATAACTATGGCAGCCTTTTGAAATGTCTCTTTCTTGTAAACTACAATCCTGTGCACTAGACCTGTAAATGTAGGGCAACATACATTCCTAAAGGTTATTTCTGAAGCTATTGCTGTTGTTTATAGAACTGTTTGAATTAAGTTTTGCTTTTGGACTAAAAGTTTTAGATCTCTTAGATTTTATTTCATTCCTGTATATTATGTGCACCTTCTATAATGATGTCCTCACTGAGGGGAAGAAATAATTTAAGCAAATTATAATAAAAATATGTCACTGACTTATAATTTTTTTTTTTTATTAAGCCCACAAATATTTGAATGAACGCAGAGAATTAGTTCTTACTTAAATCACCTTGAGGGGAGGTTACTGCTACTTTACAGTGGAACTGATCGGATGCTTCCAATACCATTGTTTTTAAAATGAAAAGCTTTCTGCCCTGATCTGCTACCATTTATGCACATGAGGTTTTCAAAAGGCTGGAATATATAATTAAAGCAAAATCCTTCCCACCCCACGCCGCCCCCCCTTCAAATTTTGGACAACTTTATTTCACAATAAATTTTATTTTTAAGAATGCATTTTCTATTTTCATTATTACTGTAATGAAGTACCTCTTAGCAACTATTTCTGTTTAGTGGTAATTTTGTTAATCAGTTCATTTCACCCAGGTAAAGCAACTGTATTCATTTTCAAATGTAAAATTAAGTGTTTCATTCTATAATACTTAAATATTTGATATCTGTTTCTTATTGCAGGGTCGAGCCTGGATCAGAGTAGCACTTATGGAAAAGCATTTGTCTGAATATATTTCCACAGCTCTGAGAGACTTCAAAACAACCAGGTCTCTAAGACTTATTTTTGCAATATTTTAGCAAATGTTGCTTAAGTGAGGGACTTAGGTTTGAAAGTTGCTGGGGTTAAACCATGACAAAAGTGAATGTTCTACTTGATTTGTGTAGGAAAGGATGTCACTAGTAAAAGAGCTGTAACCTAGTAAAAGATATCTGGAGTTGATATCAATTGATTGGATTTCAGCATGAGTAAAACTGCAAAATTGAAAATCACTTTGTGATTTTAAAAATGTGGAAATAAGTCTGGAATTCTTGAAAGGTCAAAAGAGAAGAAAACCTCTCTAAAGAAGGAACTAATTCTGAAATTGTGGCATGGTAAGGATAGAAGATGCAATGTTCCTTTCAAAATTAGGTATGGTTGACAGAAAGCCCTAGAGACTCAATAAAAAATAGTTTTTATAGGAACTTTTTTTGAAGAAGAAAGGAGGAGAATTCCAGGAAACTTTTAAGAAATACAGAAGAACAGGATTAGTGATCAGGCATAGCTAGGATTCTAGATGTAAAATGAAAAATGTGTAACAGATTTTTGTTGTACCTTCTAATGGTGAAAGCTGTTACAGACAAGAATATGCTTTGTGATAGAAAATACTCTGGCAGTTTTGGACTGGTTCTACATAACGTGATTATTATATGATGCTTTATCCTGTAACAAGTGTGTCTTGTAGATTTATGAAGAAGTCATCTAAATATGAGTGAGTCTGTAACATGTGGTACCTTATGTTGAACTCTAAAAGTTTTAGACATACTGAATGGACTATTTAAACAGTAAGAATTTTCTCTGTAAGGACTTCTGTTTATTTAGAATATTATTTCTGTTTGTAATACTATTTGTCCACAGATGTCCATATATTTTGCCAATATTAAGGTGATTTTGAAATGTAACTAGGTAAACATCCCATTTTATTGAAGTTTCCAGACCTGTCGTCTTTATTTTACCCAGATTTGCTTGCATTTACAGTAGGCAAGAAGCTCATAAAACAAAGATTTCTGGAAAAGATTTACTCATGTTGCCTCAAACTGAAAAGTCACTTGGGTTTTTGAGGGGGAGATGAGGAGGAAGAGGAGGGTCACAAACTATGTAGTTAAGTAGTACATTCTTTGTCGCTGTTTGGTAGTGGGATTTGTTTGCTAGGGGGTAACAGTGGTATTATTTTATTAGCAGTTGCAAATTCATTTATTTGAACATGTTAATGTTTCATATATTTGAATGTTCTTTCAGTGGTATAGCTTTTGGAAACAACCTCTCTTGCATTCCAAACATAGTAAGTGCAAAGTTTGTTTTGAAGTAATATTTTAAATACATCTAATGGAAATAAAAGTTACAGTTTCAGATCTTGGTAGTGTGGATTTCAAATCCACTAGCAATAATGGACATGCTCTCTTTTTCTGTGTGGGATTTCGGATACCTAATAAGTGGCCTGATTTTTTTGGTGATGCTTTGCACCATTTATTTAGCATTTTAAATTATATATTGTGCTATATGTATATTTAATAATTATTTATATAAACTATAAATATGATATGTTACACATGTATGTATGTAGAATATGAGATTCATCTGTCATACTGCTACCTCTTTTTAAACCTCGCTGTTGTATTTAGATGCCTGATCTTAAGGCTAGTCCTTTAATGAAGCAGCACATTTATTAGTGCTGCATCTGCATATCACACTTGGAAGGGGATTGGATTAAGCATGGGCACACAATTATTTTTCTAACAAATTGGTCAGCACAGACTCCTAAGTTAAAGTAGGCTGTTCTGTTGTGAGATGTCAATTGCATAACACTGAAAGGTTTGTGAGTTTTCCAAGGGCACTGTTGTTTTGGCTGGATTATTGTAGCTGGTTTAAGAAACATTGCCATTGTCAGACTGACATCTGTGTCTCACCGTTACAAGTATGCCCCGTCTTTTTTGTGTGATTACTTCCTAGGCACCATTTTACAAGATAAACTGAACACAGTACAGGTTGGTACCTGGCAGTGATTTTACAAATGCCAGTGAAACGGTTTGTAATCAGCTTGTACTAGGAGCATTGCTGTTAGTTCACAAGTAAGAGTAACTGTACTGAATCAGACCATAAAGTCCATCTAGCTCAGTATTCTGTCTCAACCAGTGGCCAGTTTAGCCTTCTGGTCCCCTTCCTGAAGTCAGAGGGTAGAGAGCTGACTCTGTACATCGTAGCCTCAGTGTCAGGACTATAATCTCTATCTTCCCAGAGGACGTCTTCCAGATTTCTTGCTTCCACTGAGAATATCCAAGGTCTTGGACAACTCGTTTCTTTACAGCAAAAGGATGTCTGTTATGAAACTGCAAAAGTGGGACTTCTGACAGTGTGCATTGTAACACAGTTCAATCTTTGGAGCTGTGCCCCAAAATGTGTCTTTTCTGAATGTTCACCATGCAGCCAACTCGAGCTCTCACTGAACTGTCCCAGTGCTTTCATGTAGTTCTTAAAACAGATGGAGCTTTTGGTAAGGCAGTGTTGCTGGTATTTGTCTGAAAGATAGGTTGCATTCAATAATCTGGCACCTTCTTGCAGTCATACATTGCTAGAATGTGTAGGTGGACTGTGCATCTCTGTTTCTGGTAAGTGACCTTTCAACCTTGCCTTTGGTACTGAACAGCTCTTGGTTTTCCTCTTTCCACATATAACACTCAGGTGAATTCTAGTGACCTTTCTGCCTCTGCTGCTGCCAAGACTCCTTTAACACAGAAAATTAAAGTTGTGTGCTACTTTGCTAAACAGACCAAATGCCTTTTTTGCAAGGCCATGCATAGCAATGGTGGGTCCTATTTGCCTGCCACATGCATGGAACATTTCTGTCTGGAAGTAGCTTCTGTGGTAGCTGGGAGGAGAAAATTAGAATAAATGGGAGAGAATGGGGAGGCGGTGAGGAAATCGGTGCTTTATTAGTCACTGGTCTCAAGCAACCTTCACAAGTCTGCATATACCAGGGTATGTGAAGTATATTTTGAGATCAAGCTGTGGAGTTTTAAAACTTTGGCCAATAGGTGTTTTACAATAAAAATGGTGTTAAGAAAACACTCCTTCTTCAAATAATGAAAATTTTAAATCTCAGAGTAGCTGGATGCAGCATGTCTCTTCCCAGCATGCAGTATTTTTGGAAAAAGTGTGCTACCTGGAAAATAGCTGATTTGTGAAAATTTTTTTTTAAAAATAATCAACTACTAAGAATGAAGAGTGAATGTTGAACTTCAAAAGAGCCTGCAAGTACAATTGTGAGAGAGAACTTCTTTTTCATACGATGGAATAATTATTTTTTAATGTACATGACACAAATTCTTCCTTTCAGCAGTAAAGTATAAGATATCGTCATAATTTTCTTTGCATTTTGTCCATTCTGTTCTACTATTTCTTAGAGCTAATACTGTAAATTCTTTTTGCTTCTGTCTAAATTTTTATGTGCTCTAAGATTGTGGTGTTTTGTGCTGTGCAGTCTATTGGTTTGCTTTATTTGAAATGAAACATGAATGCCCTTGGGGTTCACATTGGTTGTTCTTATTTAAACTTGATTTCTTCAGTTTTCTGTTAACTATAAAAAACATTATTTGAGAGAAAATGGTATTAACTGAACTAATTTCTTTTTTATTGAAGGAGATTTTATGAGGATGGAGCAATTGTTCTTGGTGAAGAAGCAAATATGCTTGCTGGTATGCTGTTGGGACTCAATGCAATTGATTTTAGGTATTATATTTGCATGGTTCATAACAAAATGCTCAGGGAAAGTACTTATAAATCGATGCATTATGGAAAACATTGTTAGATTCCCTTGATAGTTTGAGAAATAAAACTTAGGTGAGGGGGAAGGAGAAGGAGGGAGAGAGAAAGATCTTGAACGGCTCTTCTAGATAAGAACAAAGTTATGCCATAGTTTATATAGCTGCATGATTACACAGTCTTTCTTTCAGGTATCAAAATCCTGAAAGCAATTAGAAGTATAATTGCAGAAGGTATATCAAACCTATTAAGTGAAACTTACAGACAATCGAATCTTTTAAAGTTATTTTTAAACTGTAAGGAAAACTGTGTGGTTAAGTACATGGTTATGCCCTGGTACTCAATGACAGCATTGTAACTGCATATGTAGAAGGTGTAGGTATCTTTAACTTTAGCACTTCTAGATTTTAAAAGCTTAACCTACAGATGACCATTGAATATTAATTTGTGTTATAATTAACAGCAGCTGAACTGCAAAGTATCATCAGATTACACAAATTTACCTTTGCAACCTCTAGACTTTCGTGTGCGTTGTTATACAATTAATTCTGTGTTTTGGGGTAATGAAGGTGCAAGCACACCTTAGATAATATAAAAAACATCTTGCTATATATATAA